AGGATTCCCTAATACTTACAAAAATAAATAAATAAATAAACAAAACAAATAAAAAGGCATTAGATTTTATTCATCAACGTGATTGTTATGAAAGAATAGGTATGAATGAGTTCTGAATATGCCTAATATTTTTTGTGCTAAATTTACATAGGACAAAACAAGTAACATTTTTAATCTGGGCTTCACCAGCCTGTAAAAACATTGAATACTTTTTCTCTCTGTAAGGAGGTATATCTGGCAGACTGAGCTACACAGACAATTTAGACTTAGGGTAAAGTTGATCATTTGAAAATCAGTAAGCTTTTAAGATGTGCACACATCCAATCTTCCAGGGGATTAGCTGAGCAATCAGTCTCTCTCTCTCTCTGTTTGACATATAGTCTTCCAGGCACTAACGGATCTGTTTGACAAAAAATAACATATGCATGTGGAGGTATGAGAGTCTGGAGGCAGATATATGAGGAGCAGAAAAAAATAAGGGGGGTGGGCAAGGTCCCCCACAGAGCTCCTTTGTTTGAAACTAAATGCACATCATCAGAACAGACACCCAAGCCAAGACACACATTTTGTGGAGGTGGACTCAGCTGTTTCTGTCCCAGATCCTTTATCTTGAGAGTAAGGAATACAAAACAATGATACAGAAATCTATTCTGTTATAGACATTGGTGGTCAGCAAAATGTCCCATTAACAGGGAAGTAACAAGGAAATGTAATACTATGAATTTTGGTTCAACTGAGTGATCTGTGCCTTTAACGACGAGACATCAAGATACTTGATGTGGAAATAGTCCTATTTAGAAGCTGTCTTCAGTCTTAACATCTTATTTTGCTGAACAGGCCATTAAAGAGATTAGAAAATAAACGCAGACTGAATTTTTTTTGTTCTTTTCCCCCGTACAGACGAATTCCAAACTCTATATTCTCAATAAATAAAATACTACAATAATTACAAGGTACAATGTTGATTTACCTGGGCCACATTTGTTTTATTTGGGTTTATTATTAAAGCAGCTCTGTTACCAAAAAATAAATAAATAAAATTAGATCAAATATAAAATCCGTAAGAAATACTCATAAACACTACATTAAGTTTTTATTGAAATTCCAATGCAGTGGTAAATCCTACCTTGACAAAACTTGAAAAAAAAGCGGTGGGAATACGACATTATCTCACTCATTGAGAGTTAATATCAACGGAGGCTCCTGCAGTCAAAGGGGATCCTCCATAGATATCAGTGTTGTACTCTTGCGCATGCACGAGAGTGCATCACTGACATGGGTCCCTGGTGGATAAAGCGTGGGTGACACCATCAGGTAAGTCTAACTCACCAGCTATAGTCAGAGACTGGCTATTTTGACTAAATTAATCAGCTTTTAATTTACTACAAGTTAGTGTTGAATAAACTCCAGACATGGCAATAGTTGGCGATTCTCCTGAGTTTCCTTTGGGCATATTACTTGTTTTTACACCCACGAACCACAGATCTGGACGACGTCATTTAATTTAGTGGTTTATGTGGGTCATGCATACCATTACCATTTCCATCATGTTTTTCAGGACACATTATTATTATTATTTTATTATTTATATAGTGCCATCAGATTCCGTAGCGCTGTACAATGGGTGGACCAACAGACCTGTAATTGTAACTAGACAACTGGACGTACAGGAACAGAGCGGTGGAGGACCCTGCTCAATGAGCTTACATATAATTTTGTCATATTTGTCATATTTATGAAAACGCATGAAAAGAGTTGCCTTGCAATATGTATAATTCTGTAGGATTCTTCATTGCCTAATTACTTAATCTTATATTATTATTCTATTATTTATATTGCGCCATCAAATTCCGTAGCGCTGTACAATGGGTTATACACCTTCATCTAAATTCTACATACTACAGGGCAACCCTTTACTGTGTTGCCCATCAATATGTATACGTAATATGTGTCCATAAAAAACATGGTGGATATAGTAACCGTACTCGTGCATAAAGTGTGTACTACCAGGTGATGTTCACAGGAACACACTTACATTTCGGTTCAATGAGCAAAGTAAACAGTGATTCCCAAAATTCACTGGAATTTGTTGTACCAGGGCTAAGACTTGCATCCATTGGAAGATTTTGGAACTGCGGTCCGCGATATTTTCATGATGGTAATTTCTTTTACAGTGTTGGGAAATTCTGGCCTAAATTATTATAGAGAAGCGTTTACGTAAAACCACCAACACATTCACCAGCGCTGTATATTGGACAGACACAATGTGCATGTAACTGGTGTATTGGATGATTTGGGCGGTATGATAGAAGCTGTCTGTGGAATGTTGAGATATGGTTTGCAGTAGGCAAGAGGGATGCTTTTGTCATTACTGTTTGTTACAAGCCCATTCTCCTCATTTTAATAACCTGCACCATGTCTATATATTAAACCGGATCCTCGGCACTTGCTGTTAAGTTCTTAGTTGTGCACTTCCCAGGGGAGTCCTGGGGGGCAAATCCAGTCAAGTGGCCCATTGCACCACCGAATCAGCTCACCATCCATGCCCACCTTTTCCTGGTTTTATAACGGATATTGATGTTATGAAGCAAGACACATATGATACAATGTGGTTTATGTGGGGGTGATGGTGAGAGGGGTGATGGTGTGTTAGGAGGGGCCTTGCACCCGGCGGCATATCGAGCAAGCCGCTGAGCCCCCTCCTGGTGTCGGGTCCTCTGTCTGCCCTTTTTAAACTGATTTAGGGAGGCCTGTGGGGCAATTGCCACACTGTCTCCCATCATCACCGAATACAGAGTATACTATTCTAAGTATCCAGTACTGTACTTCCTACAGAACAACCAGTAGAGTTTAGTCTCACTTCCAGTTAAATAATATTATCAGTTAAATAATATTATAATTGTAATATAGTATTCCTGAGTAATCTGCTTTGTACAATAATTATTTAAGGTTTGATTGAACGAAAGGTGGAATCTTTTCCCAGCAAAAGAAAGGAGCTGATTACCTAATCATAGCTCAGAGACAATTTATTCTATTGGAGTGACATTTAAAGGGACACTCCGGGAACCTGATCCTCAGACATACATCTGATGGAGCTACATGCCAAAACCACTCAGAACCACTGAAAAATAATGTAAATATATAACCACAGCTCTGCCACCCTTTGCCATCACATCCAAGAGGAAGTTGGTCAGCTGATCATCAAAGGGTGGCTAGATCTTGGATCCTGGGCCGCTTTTTGTATTGAACTGTGTTTATTATACTGTGTCTTTCCCCAACTGTACAGCGCTGTGGTATATGTTGGTGCTTTATAATTGCTAGTAATAGTAATAATGAACTGGGAGATACAAGGTTGAGCGAATCAAAGCAATCAGTGTCTGCCATTAACTAGAACTAGAACCAGTGTATTGCGCATGAACTGTTCAATAAAAGTGACACTCTCGCTGTCTGGGGACTTTGCCCAATTTGCATTGACCCCCAACATCATTGATACTGGATGTCTGGTGGCCAGAGAAAGGGGGGGAGGGGGTTGACAGGTAATGGTGAGATTTACTTACCTGAGCCTGTCCCTTGCGGGCGCAGCCATCTTGTTCAGCTTGATCGGACATCACTGCTGTCCTCTCATGCATGCGCGAGAATACAGTATTGAGGTCTATGGAGGATCCTACGAGACCGCAGGATCCTCCATAGACACAACCAATTCCCTGCAGCCGTTACTAGTGATTGACACAGTAACTCCGGTCTGAGTCTCAGAAAGTAAGGTGAAGTGGAAAGATATGTATCTTTATATGACTGGACTCGGTTAAAATTTCAGTGAAATTCCAACACAGTCAAAATGAGTATGTCATAAAAGATTCTATGTTTATGAAATGATAATTTTTCAGGGTAGGTGACACTGCAATAGCCTTACAAAACGAACAGAAACCCGTAGATTGGCTGAGAGTATCAACTGATTCCTGAATTCAGCAAGTACGTTTGCCCATTGGAGGGGTAGGAGTCATCTCAGCACAAGGTCTAGTCTCCTAAAAATCTCAGGATCAGTGACATGGCTGTCGCTTTAACAAGAGATTTATGTACCTCAGGCGCTGAAAGGGTTAAAGCAATTATAGCACCTATTATGACGGTTCTTCTTTTTAGATCTATTGTTTTTATTATATATATATATATATATATTTCATACCAGTTTTGCCCCACTCTTCAGCGTATCCCTTTTTGCTCCATAAATAGTGCTGCTAATGATATCATGCCATAGCTGCCACAGCTCCCTAAAAGTTGTAGTTTATACAGTAAAAAAACTGGGAATTAAACTACAATTTCCATAATCCCTCACTGTGCCCATAATTCTCTGCTTATGGGCTCTAGTTGTGATTGGCTAATTAACTTCCTGGTTTGGGCAGATATCACAGCAATATCCGCACAATCGGAGCATGTGAATATCTTTATTATTTTTCAATATTTTTGATAATATAATGCATGGAGCCTTTAGTGTCCTTGATATTTAAATCACACCTGATAAAAAGTAATTTTCCACGTTAAAAGGTATTTCACATACATCTCTTTCTGTATTAAATGTATGAAAACACAAATACAATAATGTGAATAACTGTAAATACACAGACAAGTCCCTCTTGGGCCCTCTATACAAACATAGGGGAGGCCCAGATAAATTAGCCATCAGTGGGGTATTGCTCCCTGCTGTCACTGTGAGGGGAACTCCATATCACATGGCTCTGTGTCCCACTACAAACAGTTTTTAAATAACCAAACAGTAACATAACAGTGAGCAGTCCATTAAACATATCAAATGTACAAAGGCTTGCTCTCATAATATCACTGAGGGAATTGGATCTCCAGTTGGAGGGTAGGACCTTACCGTGTCCTGGACCCTCACAAGCCTGTGTGGGAAAAGTAGTGAGATAATTGTCTGATTATTTGAATAATTGCCCTCCCTTCCCCTGTCTCCCAGCCCCTGTGATTAGTCTGTCCTGTCTCAGAGCTGACTCCTCCCTGAGTTCTGGCTGTATGTGGAGTATTTTTGGGTAATGCCTACAAACAATAAACTCCTAGCATGGGTGAGGGCTATGCCTGGGGTCTGTGAGGACACTCTGGGCAGGAGGCTGTGTGGGCATGCTGTGCCAGGCTGGCATGGGCTCAAGGCTTAGTACATAGCAGAAGCTGAGCTGGAAGTATGATCCCTGACTCTAACAACAACCCAGGGAAGGTAAGTTATAGAACTTTGTGTGTCAGAGGGGCTGAGTGGGAGTCAGCTGTGCAGTTCATCAGAACTCACTGGATACAGAATATATAATTCAGAGTTCTGATTCTATTAACCCCCTGAGTGCTAGTTACTGAAACTTCCATACAGGAGGAACTGTGAATTCCATTAACCCCCTGAGTGCTGGTTACTGAAACTTCCATACAAGGGGGACTGTGAATTCCATTAACCCTATGAGTGCTAGTTACTGAAACTTCCATACAAGGGGGACTGTGAATTCCATTAACCCTATGAGTGCTAGTTACTGAAACTTTCATACCGGGGGAACTGTAAATAAATTTACAATATGGATCCAGTTAGCCAGGAGACCATGGGGTTAAAAATAAACCCCAAAGTATATCTGTATGTGTGCTATAATGATGATGCTGGATGTGATTATCTAGATATTTCTGTGGCTGTAATGATCTAGATATTTCTATAGCTGTAATGATCTAGATATTTCTATGGCTGTAATGATCTAGCTAATTCTGTGGATGTGATTTATCTAGATATTTCTGTGGCTTTAACGATCTAGATATTTCTGTGGATGTGATTTATCTAGATATTTCTGTGGATGTGATTAGATATTTCTGTGGCTGTAACGATCTAGCTAATTCTGTGGATGTGATTATCTAGATATTTCTGTGGCTGCTAGTCTCACCCTTCTGCTCTCTCTTCCCTCTCCAGGTTTCAGACAGGTTCCCCGGCAGGGAGCTGCCATCCTCCCCCAGGAAGAGGCTGCAGTCTGCGGATGAGGCTGTGCGTGGAAGCCGGCCGCCCCCGGAGGGAGCTGGGGCAGCCTCTCTGTCAGAGCTGGGGCACACAGAGGGGGCTGGCTCCGGGGACTGGTGCCCATATTGCCAGGCTAAGCTGGCAGAGCTGAAGAAGCAAGCCCTTAAACTAGCCATACCCGGCTCCACCACGGTAAGGGAACCCTCAGCCAGCTCCTGGCTTGGAGTGATGGGAGCTGGGATTATATTGTTTCTTCTTCGTCTTCCTACATGACATATAAAGAGTTTTACATGTTTAAAGAGATTGTGCTTATTCTATAGAAATCTGAATATATCACACTATATAAACTGTACTGGGCTGACATTCCATGGATGGTGTGTGCATTAATGTGAGCACAGTGTGTATTAATGTGATGGTGTGTATATTTAAGTGAGCACAGTGTGCTTTAATGTGATGGTGTGTGTATTTAAGTGAGCACAGTGTGCTTTAATGTGATGGTGTGTGTATTTAGGTGAGCATGGTGTGTATATTAATGTGAGTACAGTGTGTATTAATGTGATGGTGTGTATGTTAATGTGAGCACAGTGCATATTAATGTGATTGTGTGTGTATTTAGGTGAGCACAGTGTATATTAATGTGATGGTGTGTATATTAATGTGAGTACAGTGTGTATTAATGTGATGGTGTGTATATTAATGTGAGTACGGTGTGTATTAATGTGAGCACAGTGTATATTAATGTTGTTATTATTATTATTATTATTATTATTATTATTGTCATTTATATAGTGCCAACAGATTCCGTAGCGCTTTACAATATTATGAAAGGGGATTTAACTATAAATAGGACAATTACAAATAAACTTACAGGAACAATAGGTTGAAGAGGACCCTGCTCAATCGAGCTTACATTCTATAGGAGGTGGGGAGTAAAACATATTAGGACAGGAATGTGCAATCAAATAAGGTGGGCTGCCCTTTAGGAGAGGGCAAGAGACGGGTATGTGAGGTAGGGGTTAGTCTTGGAGGCCATAAGCTTTCCTAAAGAGATGGGTTTTAAGGCACTTCTTAAAAGATGCAAGACTAGGGGATAGTCGGATGACGGTAGGCAGGCTATATGATGGTGTGTATATTTAAGTGAGCACAGTGTGCTTTAATGTGATGGTGTGTATGTTAATGTGAGCACAGTGTATATTAATGTGATGGTGTGTGTATTTAGGTGAGCACAGTGTGTATTAATGTGATGGTGTATATATTTAAGTGAGCACAGTGTGCTTTAATATGATGGTGTGTATTAATGTGAGCACAGTGTGCATTAATGTGAGCACAGTGTATATTAATGTGATGGTGTGTATATTAATGTGAGTACGGTGTGTATTAATGTGAGCACAGTGTGCTTTAATGTGATGGTGTGTATATTAATGTGAGTACAGTGTGTATTAATGTGATGGTGTGTATATTAATGTGAGTACAGTGTGTATTAATGTGATGGTGTGTATATTTAAGTGAGCACAGTGTATATTAATGTGAGTACGGTGTGTATTAACCCCTTAAGGACACATGACATGTGTGACATGTCATGATTCCCTTTTATTCTAGAAGTTTTGTCCTTAAGGGGTTAAGGTATTGGTGTATGTATTAATGTGAGCTGGGTGTGTTTATGGAATCCTGTTAGTCCATTTAATTAGCAAGTCTCATTTAAAAAGAATACATTTGTGATAATCAAGGAATTGTGCCCAACCCTTTCCTTTGAAGGCATCTGTTTTGTTTTGTTTTTGCTTTGTGAGACTCCCAAGTCACCAGTACTGAGATCTGGCATTTTATGTGATTGTAGACAAGCAGAGCAGTTATTGGAGACTGTGGGTTAATATTGAATGAGTTATTCTGGGTCAAAGTTCTAAATATGGAACTACTATCTGAACTTTGTATTGGTTTCCATGGTGACTGCTCCACTTTTAGAACACTGCTGCTAAATTACTACCTGCCACATGGGCACCAAGACTGGCACATGAGATTAGACTGGCATGGAGAACACATTGTACAGAACTGGGAAATCTGTGTAACTTCATGACTTATTAGTTGGCAACAGCTAGAGAGTTAAAGGTTCACTTTACTTAGTGAAAGGTGGCACCAGTGACCTTTATTTGGTAAAGCAGTGTGGGACCTTTAACAATCACCCAAATAAAGCCCCAGTGCCCCACTAACTACTTTTGGGTGCCAGAGGTAAGTGCAGTGTTGCGCCCCTCCTCTCTGTCTGATGACTGTGATATATGTTGAGGTTTAATCACTAAATAGTGATAAAATAGGCAAAGTGTGACTATACCGAAGTTAACGTTTTTCTGTTATCCAATCCCCTATTTGAACCCAGGTTTTGTAGTTTGGGTTTTTATTCACTGCACTTCAGTAGTCGGGGAATATATTTCATAGTTTTATAATATGTATAATATTGTGGTAAATAACAACACACATTACTGAGATTGTGTACTGCTGGTGTATTGTTTAGCAGTGACAAGGAACTCGGCTATAAAAAGTATCTTGTGATTTAATGTACTGGTCTCTGGTATTTATGGTGGCACCATGATAAATGTAAAGGCTTGGCCTGCAGTTGTGGGAGGGGCATGTTTCCCTACATAAACCCCCACTCACCTTCTTCTGTCCCATACGTATTTTTAGTGATTCGCATGTCCCCACCCTTCACTCCCTCAATTTATACTTTTCATTACACCTCATGGGTGGGCCCTCTTTTATTACAGGCCTACCCTCGACGTCGGTTCCGGCACACCACAACCGACTCATTTCCCCCTTTTCCTATACGGCCTTATTTGCCCCCCACACAACTGATAATTGCCCAGTGGCTGTAAAGGACTAGTACTGTCTAATGTATGTAGTGTTCATGTGCTGTCACAATGTATGTAGTGTTCATGTGCTGCATGGGATACATCATTGCACTCATCAATTTAGTTGATTTTTAAATGGGTTTTTAGTACTGTATTTCATACCTGCTACATATGAATAATACTGTTAGTAATACTTTTTTATGTACAGCCCAATGGCGAGTTGTGTCTTGTGAAATATGGCGGCTGTGGCATTCCTATTCAGGTTTATGAAAACAATTGCCCCACTAGTTCTTCCTTTAGTTAAGGAATTGACATCCTGCAAGGAAATCCTATTACCTTAATAGAGTTAGTTTTTAGTAATACTTCCTGTCTATGCCATTTAACGGGTTAAGAGTGGATTTACAGCTGGTGACATGTGAATTGATTAGGCAAGGATAGCTGAGACACAAGAAAGATGAGAGTTCAAAGGAGCTCCACGTGATATAGCTCTTTTCTGATATAGTTTAAGTACTGATAGTGTGACGTCATAATAGTATTAATATGACACAAGACCCAAGAATCTAAGTTGTCAAAACAGAATCGGAAACCTGGGACAAGCTATGTCTCAAAGTACAGTCAGTCTGGGCACATTGCTTCAGCCCCCAGACCAGCTCTATGGCCAGAGATAGATTACATGGACAAAAACATCAGTCGGTCGATACTGACCAATCTGTTCGGGGGTCTGAACAGTAGACAATGGTAAAGGTTTCTCAGATCAGGTATTGATGACTATCGCCTCCCATTGTCCTAAGGAGTTTGGCAGTTATTATATATATATATATATATATATATATATATATATATATATATATATTTTTTTTTTTTTTTTTGTTTAATTATTTATTTTAAGGCATGGTGATGATTTTCCTTGTTTTGTACAGTTTGATTTGTTGTTGGCCATTGCATGCACACATTCATACGAAGAAAACATATATGTTAATGCTACATTGCACACTGCTTTATATTACCTTTTTTTGAATTTTTTTTTTATAACCATTCTTTTTGCTCACCTTAGAGGGAACATTGTGTTGACATGCCTTTTTATGTATGCGTGCTTTATTGAACATAAGATGCTCCGTAAACGAGTTCGTGGATTCCACCTTATTCTATTTAAGGTTACTTTTAAAAAGGCAAAAACAAAGAAACAAAAACACAGTAATTGTTTGCCCCCCTCCTCCTGACTGTCATGGGAGAGTAGCATGTTTTGTGGTTTGTATTGTAGGGAGTGATCCTTCTTTGCCTTCTGTTGGCTGCTGTGCTGACGAGTTGGACTTGAGTCCAAATTAATGTCTACTCATTCCATCAATCCTTGGGTTGTCGTCATCCATGGTGATCAGTTTTATAGCTCCAACAAATCCTCTTTACTGAGCTATACCATTTATTACTAATCTTGACAATATTTTGACCTGAAAAGTTTTTATTTTTATTTATTCTTTTTGTTTCCATCATTTTGACCCAAAATGTGCTTCTCAGAGTTCACTTCTAAATGAAATAAAATATTAAATAAAGATTCAGTCAAGAGGCAGCGATATTTCATTTTATTTATTTTTAGGTAATCTGATATGTATGACATTGGCCTAAAATGAGGTCCCTAAACACTAAACCCATCTTGCACACTTTGGGATATGCTTCAGGGCTGCCTTCCTTCATCATATAACTGGTTCTAGAGAATAGGAGCCAACACAAAGTGGTTTATTCACTAAACTCTGAACTGTAGTAAATTTTAAATCTGAATTGCAAATTGTAGATCAAATAGTGGACCTGCGACCGTAACTAACTTGTACAATTGTGTTGGTGTGTGTTCTGTTAAAACGGGAACGCTCTCCTGATTATGGCCCGCTAGGCTATCTGTGCTTTGTGTAGACCACAATCTGTTAATAAAGCTGTAATATCATTCCATTAAAGTTCAACTAAGTGCAGGCTTAATGGATGCCACCAAAACTCCCATGGTACAGACATGTGAAAGGAAATATCTTGATATAAACATCCCTTTATTTCTATTCTACTGACATTACAATCTACTGTACTTTGCAGTCATCTGTAAAATCAGTCAGATCCTTATAAAGAGATGTTTATAGTAACTGACTGTGTAGTGTTTACATTACACGTTCTACCTGATTGTACTGTGTTAATGATAACAGATCTCCCACAAAGAGGCAAACATAGATAAAGTATGTGGGCCACACGTCTAAATACTCAGCCAGATCTCTAGACTGTTTTATAACTCAGCAGACTAAAAATAGGGATATTTAATCTGCAGGTATATGAATCTAAGTACATCTTCAATGGGTTTCGTTGTAATTAAAAGGTTTAATAAAAAATAAAATAAAATTTTTCTGGGCTGGACCGGTCACATGAAATATACTTTATGTACTCATCACAAACATGTAAAAACTTGTAACTTTATGAGTTGTGTGTAATATTAGCTCCTTTTTAAAACTTTTTTTTTTTTTTTACCTCTTTATTATTTCATAAAACCTCTTAAGGACCTAATGTTACTCTTTGTGGACATTGCAAGCTTTTTTTCCTGGCAAACTTGTGGCTTTATCGAAAGACATGTGTGTGTGTGTTTATCTATGACGTTTCTTTGCAGCCCTGCATTCGATAAGTCAGGCCTGCACCACCTGTGGCCCCCTAGATGTTTTGAACTACAACTCCCATGATTCACTGGCTATCTATTTCATTCAAAGAATCATTGATGTTGTAGTTCAAAACATCTGGGGGGGGCGCTGGTTGTGCAGGCCTGCGCTAAGTGAATGTTTAAATTAGGATCCTTTAAAGAACAAAATTTTATGACACCATAGGCTGTCATTAGTCCTACCCGGTTACTAACCCATTGATCGTGTGTCTCTTGTGACTAGAACACTCTTCCATCCTCATTAGTTATCCTTTTTGTATGTTTTCTAAGTGTAGCAGTTAACTGATGGAGTGAAACACTATTGTGTTTGGCACAACCTGGTCTATAAACTTTTTTAAATGCACTGTAAAATCTTACAATGCCATTAAATGTTATATAGACAGCTCAGATATTTAAATACTTATTTCATTAATTTGTAAAACAACGAGCGGTTATTGCTATCTACTGAACCAGCTAATGGGCACAGCCATTTTGAATCGTTGGTGTCTAGTTTCCTGATGTATTTGTAAATATTGAACTGAGCATCATGGCAATTCTAAGTGTGTATAAAATGCTCAATGTGAATTTAGAACAAACGTCTATAATAAAAACTGTCTCTCTATCCACCTTCTAGCCTGTTGTGGGTGTATCTGTGGTTTTGTTTTTTATTAAAAAATTCTCTTTTGGTGAAAAGCGACCGACTAACTTTAGATCCATTTTATTTCTTGATGTAGGTTTGTTTTGAACATCTGTAATTGTATTAAGAATCCATGCACTTGTTACACTTGAGGCTACATTGTATTGCACTTACGTTGTGCAGTAGAATCATCATTGTTTGAAAACAATATGATTTTTTTTTTTTTTTTCCTTCTTGCACGGTTTGGGTGAAATGGTGGTCTGCAAAGGAAATCAGCACTCCCCGACCTTCGTTTCAATTGAAATATTTCCTGCATAATTATAATAATTCCTGCTCGGTCTAAAATTAGTATTTTTATGAGTTATTGTAGTGTGAGCTGGGAAGGTTGATTGTAACTTTTTCGGCTTCTTAGTTCAGTCTAGATTGGTTTCTGGAAAAAAGCCAAAGTTTTTAAGAGCAGTTCAAGGGTTTTCCATTCATCCTATGTGAAAAAACCTAAAGATCACACTGCTGTACACAAGCCCCCTTGGCCCCCCATTTGTTGTCTTGGATTGTCAAATTGTGGAATGGCCATTTCCTTTTTTACCTTTTGTGTTTCATTATTTTAAGATCTTTTTAATATGTGAATGAGTGCGTCCATTTTGGCTCTCTGTCCATCATTATTTTTGAGTGTAAGCTCTCTGTCCTTTGTATCTGAATGAAGATCAATGCGTGCCCTGGCTGTGCCTAGACTGAACTGGATTGTAATGTCATTGTCTTTAAAAGGACAATGAAGGCACTGTAGCTGCTTCGTCTCATTGAAGTGGTTATGGTGTATGGATTCCCCTGGCCCCGCTCTTCCCTGCCGCATTAAACCATTTTGAATGTTTTAATGCTAAACAAGTTCCTGACAGCCTATTCGTTCTGTGCTGCTTGGGCTATTGTTGGCCAGGAACCCTTTATTTAGTGTTGAAGGATCAGTTCAGCACAACAACATCTTCATTGAAATTAAGTTGTTATGGTTCCAGGGGGTCCCTGACTCTGGCTCACCCACCATTCACGAATGGTTTAACCCCTAAGGCCTGTGCTCCAGAGCCTGATCCCTCTACTTTAAGCCAATCAGCGGTGCCTTTGCCTGAGCCTTCTGCTAGGATTTCAGAAATCGGCAGGACAAGGCGGGAGAGTGGTGTGTAACTTTTTTAAAAATGCTTTAAACCAGTGGTTCCCAACCCAGTCCTCAAGTACCCCTTACCAGTCCAGGGTTTAGGGATTATCCTGTTGTCTAAAGTGGTTTTTTGGTTTTTTTTTCTAAAAACACTTTAGACACAACTGTGTAATCCCTTAATTCTGGACTGCTAGGGGGTACTTGAGGACTGGGTTGGGAACCCCTGATTTAAAGCATCAAGGTGAGCCTTGTCATGGACCTCTTGGCACTATAACAATTTCATTTGGATACATTTGTGGTGCTGCCAAAACTGGTCCTTTTTAAAACTGCTCAAAAAACGGTATGCCATTGAATGCAAGGACAGCGCCAGATGACTCCAGGCACTACAACCCATTCAGTGAGATTAGATGGCTCTCATTAAATAGAGCATCCCGTGGGGATGAAAGCCAACACAAGCTAGAGGTGATTTCCAATGTTTTTTGCAGTAGTGTATTTTCCAGAGAAGTGACCGTTTCTTTATAAAATGTTACGTAACTACATTTTAATAATGGATAAGCAGTTGAGGAACAATGTACAAACAAAACAGTGGATAGCGCATTAAAAAGTGGTATCAACCTTACTCCGTGTCAATATATATTAATACATAGGAGAATAAGACTAAGATAAAATATACTTAAAACCAGACAGGATTCTCATGAATCTAAAAAATAAAGTGCTCACAATAGGGCAACATAGTTTGTACTAGTAAGTGGACAAGGTAAAATACATATGATATCCCACTCACATTTTCATGAGCCTGTGAATCACTAGCTCAGGTATGATGGCTCAGAGTGGGATGTAGATCTCCTCAAATTCATCCACTGATGGAATGCTTCAATTTCTCCCAAAGGGACCAAGGAATGATAGGTACCAAGTTAGAATAAAAACCAACAATTTATTCAATATTCATATTAATATAACATTAATATATTTTTTGGTTTATTGTGTTTTTATTGAATAAATTATTTTTTATTCTAACTTGGCTATATTCTAACAGACTATGTTGCCCTATTGTGAGCACTTTTATTTTTCAGGTTCATGAGAATCCGGTCTTTTTTTAAGTATATTTTATCTTACTCTTATTCACCTATGTAGTAATATATATTGACACAGAGTAAGGTTGACATCACTTATTAGTGTGATATCCACTATTTGGTTTGTACATTTTTCCTGTCTGGTGGAATTTAGTAATTGATTTCACTGTGAATTTGTAGCAGCACTTTCTTTAGCGCCGGCAATATCATACATTTTAGTGTGTTGGACTAGGTGAGGAACAATGTACAAATTCTTAAACGGGATTTCTGTGGATCCTCTGTTCTTTCTATCTTGCTGGGTGGCAAACAGCCCTTCGTCATGGGAAAGTACACCTGTTTTCGGGGCTCATACCCAGGTGTACAGGACAGAGGACCTGTCCTTTTTTAAGGCTAGTCTGTGTGGTCTCAATTGTGTCCATCTCAAAGGAAAACTCTTTGAGAAAAACCTGATGATTGCTAAATTAATCCCCTCTCTATTACATTTCAGGCTTTGTGAAAAGTCATAATAATGTAATATCTGTCATTTTGTTAAAACCTTGACAATTTTGTTCAGAGATAAAGTTGCAAACACAGACCCTACATTGTATTCAGGGCCTGTTACTGCTTAGGGTTGAAGAGTTGTGACAGCGTTATAGTGGGCCTAGACATAGCCATTCTATTCAGCTAATCTGAACCTCAAATTTGCCCAGAGCAAGAATGACTCTTCGCAGGAAAATGGGGATCACTTTTGATGTGTGCATTATGTTATTATGATGCTAAACATATCAGTCCTGAAGGTATTTTTTCCGAACATGTCTACTTAACCCATTTTCAGTTAGAAGGATGTAAGGTAAAGAGACAGAGGTGCTCACCCCTTTGACACTAAAAGGTTAAAGGGCTCCGTTTCTTCCTTTGAAGGGATCTGCTGTGTCTTTTGTGAAAGCTATATTGAATTCGAGCACTTGAGTATAATATGATATGGTCTCATTATGTTTACTGTCTTGAGTTTTATAACACAGAAGATGCAGTGATGTCTGTGATTTTCCTAAATTACTCCGAATATAACTGTCATTAATATCAAAGTCCTGAACAGTACCAAAAGCTTTTATTGCGTTGATAAATTGTCTTGCAGCTTTGTAATAAAACATGGCGCAGTGTTCCTGCTACATTTTGACCTGAATATTTTTGGGAATTTTTACACAAAAGTATCTATTATTCAATATAGCTAAAATAAAATTTCTATTACTTCTCCATTGACAGAAATTTAATGCAACATAGTATTTTTTTACATTTTATTTTCTCTCTACATCTTCTAGCACAATGAAGTTTGCCAGACAGGAGTATAACATTTTACACAGTGGAATAAATGCTGGAGAACTCCATTTATTTATTCACATACCTGGGGCCTAATTACAATCCAGTTCAGTCTAGGCACAGCCAGGGCACGAATTGATCTTCATTCATCCTCTGAATAGGCGTTTCTGCTCTCTAGATGAGCCGGTAACTGACCGATTATAGTTTTCAGCTTTATACAGATAAAACTACAGCACATTAATTATTAAAATGGAAATGTAAAACTTTTAAGGATACAATATCCAGCAGACACCGGGAGATGGGGGTACACGGAGTTCCTTCTCTTTTACCAAGGACAATCGGGAAACATTCAATGGGGCACAGATGGTCTGTGTGCAATGGTCATGTAGCAGTCTCCTATGTGCACTGAGTCTGGGTTTAGAGGACATGTTAACATGGGCACCCAAGTAAATTGTATAAAAAAAGAGTGAGGAAGTCTGGCGGTATACACCTGCTAAACTAAACGATGTACTTGAGTCCTCCTTGGCCCTCGTCCGGACACTACACACATCTACATGTATCCTTGGGACTATGCTCACTGCTTGAATCTGTGGATTGGGTGATCCAGGGAGATTGCAAAGTTGTTATGGTTCTTCCTGGCCCCATGCTATGAAAATGTCACCCAGTTTTCTGGGGCAGAAGCAAACCCCTCACCTCTCCCCCCTGCAACCCCCCAAAAATAATTAGTATTATAATCCATGATCTGCATAAAAAGTTCAGTTAACTTAAGTAATATTTTCAGCAGAGATAAAATGATATTTAATTCCAAGTTTTGGATTGGATGTTTTCATAAGGTGACTATTTTTTTTTAATTGTAATTTTTATATATATATATATATTTTTTTTTTATTCCCAAAAAACTACAAGCCTTTCTATGCTGTTCTAAAGTCTACATGCAAATTCTACAATTAAAGTAATTTGTGAAATGCCAGGGGCAGGAGATAAAAATATTAGTCCCTAAGCAGTTATAAAATTATGAACATTCTATGTATAATTCATAGCGAAAGCTTGATGCTGTTAATATTTCAGTAGTAGAAAAATGAAAATCAGTTTTGCTATGAAAATGTATGTGTATTTTTAAAAACATTTTTTTTTTTTTTTTTTAATATTGCTCTGTACACCAAAAATATAATTTGAGTGTCATTCTCTTGAAAGTTTATTTTGTGTGATACATCCATGAGATTTAATGCTAATGCTCTGTCTGGTACCAATAACCTGGTCTGTCATGCACCCACCTATAATTAGCTAGTATCTCTTTCGCGAGCAGTACCAAACAGTTTATTTCTTTAATTAAAATTGTCTTGTAGTGTTGGAGCTGTCGGGATTTAGTTGATGTCTGTGTTTGTTAAAACATTTAAGCCATAGGAGGCTGACAGTTTCTGTGAAATAGTGTTTTCATCACTGTTAATAAATGTTTAATTTTTTTTTTTTTTTTTTACATTCTGATTACACCAAGATGGTGTATTTAAGATTGCCTGCCCTCTACACAGTTTTTGTTTGCCTTAAAATGCTTAGCCGTGGACCTGGTAATTAAAGTCGGTCAATTAGCTGAACCTTGCAAAAAATACTTATCAATCAAAAGGTTCATAGGCATAAAGTAATATCAATATCAATCACTGGATAAAAGAAAGTTAGAAATTATGGGGGAGGTCTTTTTGGCATTACATTAGCATCAAGTAACACTTCTTATGATTCAAATTTCTTCAAATGAATCCCTTCCCTAAAAGTTTTTTTGGCAAAGTGTAGCTGAAACACTTGGGGAAACACACCATTAGAGTATGGTATTGCATCAAATTATCGCAGAAACAGATGAACGTAATACATACCCCATTTAACTAACAGAATCTTATTTCTTTTATTGTCTTTTTATATTCATACTGCCAATGAAAAAAGTTGTCCCCCAATCCTATTGTAATTACTGTGTTTACTGTTCACTTGCAATATTCTGTTTACAATTGTTTGACTTTTGAAAAGTTCCTTCCTGCTCAAACCATACACACTTTCCCACCGCTAATCATTCTACAAGACTCATTGAGACCAGCGAGGCTACTGGGTAAAGAGGATTAAACTGAGCGTTGGTCAGACTGATGTAAATTGATGTTCATAAGCAACATGTTGTATCAGTCGTCTGTTTTTCCTATACATCCTGTCTTAATTCTCACAATTGACTTTCTGTTGGGTTTTGTTAATATTTTGGCAGATTACAGTATACCTATTGTTCAAAGCCCTTTCAATTGTTATAACCCTTGCAAATCTTGATCCCGGAAGATCAGCAAGTTCCAAGTGCTGCTGGCTTGCCAAGATTGCAATCAGTCTATAGTACACAGTGCTGATTGCGAGACTGCGAGCTCACAAATCGAGAGCTGGCAATGGGAATCGAAGGAATTCTGGATGTAGCAATAATAAAAGTATTTTACTAAGAAGATTTAGAAATTTTCTTACTCAACTCAATGCCTCGGCTTTAGATCAACCTTGTAAGAAGGGAGATAATAGACTTATTTTAATCGTAACTGCATTTTGACATTACAGATAAAAGCTGTCTTTGTATGTGTCATCTTCTAAACAAAACCCCAAAAATGGCTAATCTGCTAAGTAGCTGGTAACTTGTTTGAATATAAAGCGCATATCCTAATCAATTATATAGGAGCCAGTTGCACTGGGGACTGTAAGTCTCTTTTGTTAAAATTAAAATGTAGCGTGTTGTATTTTATAACTGCGGTTTTAGTTGCAAATTGCACTGCACCGTTACATAGTAGTACAGGTTTAGGAAAGACTCAAGTTTTATTAAAGAGTCAGCCTAACCACCGTAACCTCTACAGAGCCCTGTAGTAGTTATGGTGCTATAAATGCCCTGATGATGGGTCCCCAACTGTCCTGCTTTTGGACAGGTCCTGTCCTCCCATCCCAATTTATTTCCCTGGTGTCTCACATCTGGGGACACCAGGGAAGTGGGAACTGCCCTGAGTAGCACAGCACATCACATGCGCGTTATTAGGCAAGATGGTGCTGTGCAGTGTGCACTGGCACCATGCAGAAAGGGCTTGAGGTGCACTTTCTGCATGGTCCTGCAGACTCAGGGCTGATGTAGTGGTGGTCTCCCAGCCTGGAGTGCTTAATACCAGGTGACAAACCCCTTCAGTGGGCAGGCATGCCCATTTCCTAGACCAACATGGGTGTTGCCAGTGCCAAGTTGCATCATTGGTGATGCCCTCTTGAGGGCCCCTCCACCAGTCTCTGTTCCAGGAAAAGGCAACCGTTGGCATTGCAAATGTTTTGGACTATATCTCCTGTAATGCCCTTACCGCCATAATGCCACAAAGCATCATTGGAAATATAGTCCGCAACATCTGGAGTGCCGAATGTTGCCTACCCCTACCGTATTCCATACTTTCTGTTGGGAGATATGCTGGCACTCTCCCACAGGAAATAGACAAGTCGTTTTCAAGCTATTTCATACCTACCTAGGTGTCTTACACTCCTTTAACGTTCTCTTCTGAGATTGCTAATATATAATTTCCTACTTCTACGTTAGTGATGCCAATTTTGTCTGTGTTTGGACAGTATATATTGGCTGAGAGTGTCAACTGAAACTACTGCCAATTAATTCCGTCTACATAAATTTGAAATTGATATTGGATTTCTTGGGCCCAGAAGAGGAGCCCAGGCCTTAGATCCCTGGGGGACCCAGGTTGAGTCAAACTGTCTGTAAACAGATTGACTGCTTACCCTGGGACAGTAGCCGGGTGCTTAGTAGCAAACTTCAGTGGTTATGGTGCCTACGCTGAGTTTTTTTTTAACTTCAAGCCTTCACACGTCTTTCTCTTTCTGCGGTTGAACATATATAATCTAAAAACTGATTTAAAATAAATAAAATTTCAAAATAATAGCTCAGAAAAAAAGCCCCCCTGTCTAAACTGTTAAGAAAAGAAACGTTGCGAATGTTGTTTGTTGAACTGTTGCCCAGAAAGCTTTTGTTAATTTTTAATGAGTACATTACTTTATTCATGTTCAATGAAAATGATGCCAAATTTGCTTTTTTGAACATGTCATTTAAATAGGGTTTGAATAGATGTGCTAAATTATATAATGCTAGTGCAAATAATTTCATTGGGGGACTGTAAAATAATTACGAACACTCAGATTGCATATTGGCTGCAAATGTTTTATTTTTTTATTTTTAGTATACTGGTAAATGTGATTATTTCCTAAAATGCTAATTAATTTGGAAACAAACTATCTGTTATTCGCTGATTCTAAACAAAAATGTTTGAACTGAAATTTCAAAACTTACAGGAATATAACCGAAAAAAACAAAATCCTTTTTAATGACCACATAAAAAAAATAAAAATAATAATAATAAAATAAAGTGTGTTACCGTGATGATTCCTACTAAATTATCAAGATGTGATATAAATAATTACCGAAACATGTTCTTGGAACTAGCAAGGAATCAATATAAATTTGTATTTACAGGAAATAAAGCTGTTAAAATCTTAATGTTGCTGGTAGTTGCCAAAAGTAATTTTACAAGAATTTATTTATTCTGAGTCCGCTTTAGTCGATACGCTGGGGGTTAATAACGTAACTATAAATAATGGAGAATGGACAACTCCTGTTTTACAGCTTGGCCAATAAGCTTTAACTAAACCAGGAAATGACTCTGCCAATCACAATGCTCCCATAACTTTCCTATGGTAGCATTGAACTTATCCTGTAAATCCCTGCGCACAATCTATCCATTTTTGGTTTCTGAGCAACATTTTGGGCCTCTATTTGCAAAGATAGCCACCATAGCCATGATACCACACATATCAAGTAGCTTTGGGAGAATTACTTTTTTTTTTTTTTGGTCAGTTTGACCTATTTCCAAAGATACATGCGCTTCCTATTTCTTCGTTATAGAGTGTTGGAGGCAGTGGCGGATCCCGGATCCGGGGAGGGGGGGGAGGGGGGGCAACGGGGCAAGAGATCTCCCTCCCCGGACCACACTGCAGGCACTGTGCTGGCGGCCGGCGGGGGAAGGAGGGAGTGAGAGAGAGGACACGGAAGCTAAGGCTGCAGCTCCTCTGGGTCTACACACATACACTGCCCCCCATACACACACACTGCCCCCCATACACACACACTGCCCCCCCATACACACACAAACTGCCCCCCCATACACACACAAACTGCCCCCATACACACACAAACTGCCCCCATACACACACAAACTGCCTCCCACACACACACACTGCCTCCCCCATACACACACCCACTGCCTCCCATACACACACACCCACTGCCCCATACACACACACCCACTGCCTCCCATACACACACACTGCCCCCACACACACACACACTTCCACCCCATACACACACACTGCCCCCCCACACTACCCCTACACACACACTGCCCCCCACACACACACACTGACCCCCCATACATACACACTGCTCCCCATACACACACACTGCCGCCCCATACACAGACATACACTGCAATACTCACACACACACTGCAACTGTTACACACATACACTGCCGCCCTCACACACACTACAACCTTCACACACACACACTGCTCAAACACTGTCCCGCCCTCACACACACACACTGCACCCCTTACACATTGCACCACACACACCACTGCTCCTATGCCCTACTACTGCCCCATTTCCCTGCAGACCTCAGGCAAGTTGTCAAACTGTTCTTAAATGGTTTGACTACTTACTCTGGGAGGGGGTCCTGGCACTATTGACACCATAACCACTACACTGAGCTGTAGTGGTTGTGTCTGGATTATTTATTTAAATAATCTACAAGTGCCCCTCCCGAGATCAGGCTCTGGATCCGCCACTGGTTGGAGGTAAGAAGTATTACAAAAACCTCCAGCTCTGCTTCATTCTGGAAATAGACCCCAAAATTGTTTTCATTGATGTGTGCCACATTGTTCTATTAAATATAACTATGCTTTGATCGGAAAAACAATTAGATCTTACATCCCATTAGTTAAAATAACGAAAATTAAACATTACAGTAACAATATGACACAGTGACTTTTTATTGTCCGTTTTGGGATTATTCCCCCTTATTTTGCCAAGGCCTTGGAGGAAGACATCCCAGTTGACACCTGTTGACATTTTTGGAATTTGCAGGAAACTAATTAGTGCTATGGGAACTCCCTTTTTATAAATCTTTTTTTTTTTTTTTAACCTTTTGAATATGTATTTATTTTTATAATTTTGTAATACAAATCGGTCAATGGAAATCTGTTTGTGGATTTACGTTATCACCACAGAAGAGCCCTGTTTTAACTCTGTAACTGTTAATTTCTATGTATTTTTCCACCCGTTTAATAATGGAATATCTGGTCTCCTGGGGAAGGACCCCTGCAGGATAGGTTGCAGTTCATCAACTCTGTCTATGTTAAACCCTCCTATTTTGCATTGAAAGAATTTCCTATTCTGTCTCTGGACTGTGTTTTTGGCAGAAGCCATTCCGACCTGTTCAAGCAACACTTCTCTTTCCTGATTCTGTTGTTAACTCCGGAAAAACAATGGATCATAACGTTACGCCCAAATCATGGCTCATTTTAAATAGAACAGCACATTGGGAACACTTTTTCGAGTTCTTGGGCTGCAGCCTAGCTATAATCTTTATGAGCAGTAGGGGAAGATACTTGCATGTGTGTAAATAAAAACTGGAGGCTTCGAGAATAGTAGTAAAAATGCCATTTTAGCTCATGGTTTACTGGTCTTGAACTACAGCTTAAAAAAGAAAAACTGTTGTGTGCGAGAGGCCTACTCTGTCTGTGCATTTTTCATGTCGACACTTGGACTGCGCTGTGTGTAATATACAATGAAGTGTCTAGAATGTAGCAACATATTTATATCTTTCTATTGTAGCTCATTGTGTGCTCGATGGCGTTCTATTAACCGATTTCACCTTTTAGTCAAGGAATAATATCAATGACATTCAGTATCCATTTTCAATAAGCTCCGCAGATAAATGAGATTTTGTAGTTTTATTGTAGTCCTTTGAGGCTCACTTTCTTACATTATTAGTGTGTTTTTAAATTTATTTTAGATTGATGGAAGTTTGTATAATGTTTTAAAGATATGAAATTGTATATAAAGTGTCAACGTATTAAAAACTTAATTTTATAAACCAGTACTAACAAATTTTTATTTAAAGTAACCAGTGGCTCACTCTGATGAGCTTACACGGTTCTAACCTTGTGGACCAATTTGGAGCTTATTGTCATTTGGACCTTTGTCTGTACTTCAATGTCGAGGAACCATTGAAATATACTATACCTGATCTCAATTATCATGGGATATTGGGCTACATTATCAATGGGACCTGTGCTATGCTTTCATATATTACATATAAACTCCAAAATCTCTTAAAACTTGGACCCATAGTACCTAAGATGGAAGGCAAGTCAATGTACTATCTGTCTGAATATGATTATACTTGATTAGTGCTTAGATCTTGCTTTAAAGGGGCACTCTTGTCAGGAACACAAATGGGTATTCCTGACACTATATTGTTCCAAAACCACCATTGAGGTGGTCGCCCCGAGAAAAGTGACCGATCTCCATTAATGGTCAGGGCTATGTCCATTGTTTTAGTGTAGTGCTCTAACCCTGTGTTTTCCAGACAGCTGTCTGCACCTAAGCCTTTTAAAATCCTCTACGTTGCCCAGACAGTGCAAATATATTCTGCACAGGAAACAGGACACCCTTGGGGGATAATAGGTGGAAAGAAATAGTATTTGTATGCTTGTAAATACTCTAAGCCTGGAAAGGTAGCTTAAGGGGTGGGTGGTTGTCTTCCTTCGCAATTATGGCTCCAAGCTAAAATGACACCTTTCCATGGAAAGTATTTTTGTGGAATGACAATGAAACAGATGTTGTTGTCATAGTTCCAGAAAAAAAAAAACGAATGATGAGTCTAGGAGCCTCTCGTTGGCCATTGGTTTTGAGCAATAGCAATTAAAGAGAAGCTGTGACATACTAATTGGGATGGCGAAAATTGTTTTAGGAGATAGACTACATGGTGTGCTAACAGCCTTCTATGTCGGGATTTACTGCAAAAGGAAGACGCACACAATGGCCTGATCTGCTCCCCTGAACGATTAAACACTGTTTTACATCCCACAAACGACCATTTGTTTAGCAAACTGCAGATAATGCTAGAATGTTAAAGAGGTTATAAACAGGATTATTGCTCAGGATCTGTTGTTACGGTGCTTAATAAGACCCAACACTTATATCATAAAAAGGAATATGTGCGTGTGCACGTGTGTATATACGTGTAAGTTATATATATACACACAAGTGTACATGCACACTAATTACTTTATTCCTTTTTAAAAAAAAATTGTTTCCATTTCCTATTGGTAACATGTGCCAAGATATTTACAGCAAGCTGTTAAGTAAATGTGTGTTCTTTGCTTTGAAAGAGATACTTTGCAAAATGTTGTGTTCTGCCAATTCAATTTCATTCTGATCTCTGTATGCCCTACAAATGGGTGTAATTCAGTAAATGTGGATATCTGTATTCCCTCTCAATAGAAGAGCCTTGTGTATATAAAAGCTGCAGATTAGAGAATGTATTCTTTCCTATTTATCATCCTGAGTGTGTGCCCCTCTCACCTGAGAAACTTAGTGGCTTATTTAGTAAACTGAGGTTGTGGATAATTGACAAGGCAGTAAGAAAAATAGAATGTGATGGCAGATAAGAACCATTCAGCCTATCTAGTCTGCCCAATTTTCTAAATACTTTCATTAGTCCTTGGCCTTATCTTATAGCTATGATAGCCTTATGCCTATCCCACACATGCTTAAACCCCCTCACTGTGTTAACCTCTACCACTTCAGCTGGGTGGCTATTCCATGCATCCACTACCCTCTCAGTAAAGTAATACTTCCTGATATTATTTTTAAACCTTTGCCCCTCTAATTTAAGACTATGTCCTCTTGTTGTGGTAGTTTTTCTTCTTTTAAATATAGTCTCCTCCTTTACTGTGTTGATTCCCTTTATGTATTTAAATGTCCCCCCTGTCTCGTCTTTCCTCCCATCTACATATAGTTGCAACATATAGGCCAAAGTTGGTTTACTGGAAGAGAATATAACTTTCATTTTGGTCCAAAATTTGCAGTCTCCTTAAATTATCCACAATTTCCTTTAATTAAAATACATAAAAAAGTATTCAATAGAAGCCTAGATATTGATGGTATGTATTTACAAACCTGCTCATTTGAGTGTGGAATCCGTTCCATCCCCCCCCCCCTCAAATGTGCTATTTTTGTCCAAAGTTGTGATGTATTTACTCTTAATTACCTCAGGTCAGTTCTGCTAAATTAATACTTTGTTGGTTTATTATTCTTTCTCATTTTACGTAGAGCTATCATATTCTTCACGTCATTACAATGTTGCAGTGGTGGTAAAATTGCAAATAACTGAAAATATCCATTGTCTGTTAAAAAAATGGTTGCCAGCGGTGGACTTACTTGACCAGCTAGCAAAGTTGTCTGTCAGAATATCATAAACTGAGAGTGGGTTTTTTGCTTATCACAACTCACAGGGTTCTTCGTAAAGTGTGAATTATAGGGAATTTTAAGTAAACATGAAGTGTTTATTTTTACCCTACAATTTGAAATTCACTGTGAATTCTTGACAAATCGCATTTTTTTTTATGAATAAACCTGTCACTGTTTAGTGAATAATATCGCCCTCTTGTTTTGTCTCCATTGTGAACAAGGCCTCAGTGCTATTTGAAGCCTTTGATGTCCAGAATGGTTTGCAAACAGTTTATCTATTCCTAAAGAGTTATTTAACATTTCTTAATCACCTCTAATTGAGCTAATTCTGTGCTCTTTCACTTTAAAATGCATTCTGTTTTGGATATTATACTGTGAATGGGGCCAAAGACCCACTCGCTGTAGGGGGTCTAATGAAAGAGACAGGGAAGGGAAATCTCCATAGAGAGCCTGTCTGGGGTGCTGACAGAGTGAGACATGTAAATAAAGGAGTTTCCTGTCTGCTCTGTCATACATTCCAATAAAACGCTTCAGATGTAAGCCGCAACTCTGTTACTCGACGTTTACAATTTGACACTATTAATTGTTTGCGTTTGGAAGTATAATGTAACCTACGTGAAACAATAGGTGTTGGTATTAGTGGTGCAGTGATTCGAACTTCAGATATGTGTGGATTATCACTCTCATCAGGCTCAGGCAGCCTAAAGTCAAGTTGTGTGTGTACCTGCAGTCCATGGTGATATTGTGAGGAAGCAGATATACATTGTAATTCCTATTGCTCAGAGGACTCACTGTGTGGGGACAGAAAGGGCATGGAACCAGGTCAAAATGGCCTTAACTGACCAAAAATGAGGTGAGTCTAGAAAAGTTATGGCTGTGTCTAAAGCAGGGTTTCCTGTTTGGGTGCACAGCTGGGTGTGGATTGTGGGTAAGGACGCATGGTTATCGCCAATTAAAGCACAATTCTTTGATCTTTAGTTGTAAAGCGTATTCATAGCACAGTGCTGAGGAAAAATAATGGCATTTTATAAAAGGGACAAAAAAGTGTTCATAGTTAAAGGACCACTATAGGCACCCAGACCACTTCAGCTTAATGAAGTGGTCTGGGTGCCAGGTCCTTCTAGGGTTAACCCTTTTTTTTTTTTTTTTTATAAACATAGCAATAGGTTAATCCAGCCTCTAAAGCCTCTAGTGGCTGTCTCATTGACAACCTCTAGAGGTGCTTGCGTGCTTCTCACTGTGAAAATCACAGTGAGAAGACGCAAGCGTCCATAGGAAAGCATTAGAAATGCTTTCCTATGAGACTGGCTAAATGCGCGCGCAGCTCCTGCCGTGCATGCGCATTCAGCCGAAGAGGAGGCGGAGAGCTCCCCCCCGGCGCTGGAGAAAGAGGTAAATTTAACCCCTTCCTCTCCCCAGAGCCCGGCAGGAGGGGGTCCCTGAGGGTGGGGGCACCCTCAGGGCACTATAGTGCCAGGAAAATGAGTATGTTTTCCTGGCACTATGGTGGTCCTTTAAAGCAACACTACAGTGTCAGGAATACAAAAACATATCCCAGACATTATGTCCTCAGATTGCAGTAAAAAGGTGTTCTTACTCACTTACCGAGTCTGGCTCCATCTCCATGGCTGAGATCATCAATCTTGACTATATTAGCCAATCCAATGCTTTCCTATAGAAAAAACATGTGACAAAATGCCGTGCTGTGCCAATCGGCATCTCCTCAGTGATACATTAACTTAATGCATCTCTATGGGTAACATTCAGTGCCTCCATGCAGAGTGTGGAGATGCTGAATAATGGTGCTGTACACTGCAGCACTGACCCAGGAATCACCTGTAGTGGCCGTCTGAGTGACTGCACATAAAGCTATTCCTAGGCAGCACTGTAAACACTGCTTGTTCTCTGAAAACATTGAAATGCCTGCAGGGACATGCTATAGGCACCAGAACCACTACATTAAGCTGGAGACTTTTCTCTTTACTATAGTGTCCCTTTTAAAATACTGAAAAGAAAATCCTCATTTTATTATCGGACTCATGGGTGTTCATGTAAACCTGTTCTGTAATAAGGTGATTATGTGTATTATCTGGTCACATCGTCAACTGTGCTTTGTAGATATTTTGCAACACTGTAATTATATTCCGTGTGTATTGATTGCAGTTATATCCACCATGCAGTGATTGGCGTTAACCCTCACTTGTAAAAGCATTAAACGGAAAATCTCTTTAAAAATAGATATATACTTTTTAAAACTGTAAAATTAAAATGATCATATTCTGTTTGCTGCAAATTCCTAGACACTATTGAATAACCCCCTGTGGGAACATGATATAAAGATATTGATAACCAGTAGGAACTAACTAACTTGCGCCTTTGATACTTTTGAGTGTGGGGGAGGGCCTCTAGATGCAGCCATTTTTATTTTAATTTTTTTTTTAATTGCTGTTGTCATAAGTCACACACAGATAGGGGGCAGTGGATCTCCTTACACCAATAATTTTGCTATTAAAGATCAATGCACATTTAAGTGTAGCTATGTATTGCCATCACTGTTAGCTGAAATTTGACCACTGTGGCATGAATTGCAAATGTACTGGTTGTCCTTCTTGTGGGACACTTGAAGCAATTTATAGCATTTATTTTATTTTACTTTTAATGCAATCCTTCAATAATCAAAGGGATTTGTGTCTGTCTGTACTGTAATGTCTCCTCTAAAAAAAACAGACAGATTCCAGGATATTTTTCGGCAGCTGGAGAGACATAGCCCAGACCCTGGCCCTGTTTGAATTCCTCTCCCTGTGTACTATATTATATACTCCCACTGTCTGTATATTTCATCTATAATGACCACTTACTATATAACCCTTTTCATTTCAGGAATTTGATGTGCCTCATTCTGTCTGCTCACAGAGTATGCAATAGGATATTATTCTTAAGCATCTGTCAGATTGTGTAATGATGTAAAAAGCATTCTTTTCAGCCTCTTTGCTGCTCCACGGGAGTATCATATACATACTTAGCTTGGCCATAAATATACCTTGAGTGGCAATGTGCAATGCATTTGCTGTCTCTTGGCTCTATAATGGGCTTGCATTTCTGTGATTTTTATTATATTTCTGTTGTATCACCTTACTTTGTATCACAAAGCCTTATGCAATCACAGGCCATCTTATCAAAACAACTATTTTAATAAGTAACATCCAATTTTTGTTATATTTCAGTTATATATCTTATCTATCTTATTGGAATGGTTTTACTTTGAAAATCATTACATTTTTTTTTTTCTAAATGATTGAATATATTTGTTTCTGAAGAAGTCATGAATTACAGGATAGGGAAGCTGAGCTAATTAGAGGCTATTATTGCCTGTTTAGCTTTCATCATTCCTCCACACCCAGTGGACAAAGTCTTTCCAAATGGATAGTGTTACAGAGGTGCTTCTAATCAGTTGGACACATCCTCCTGAGAGATACTCCAGATGTCTCGTACTTGGTATCTGGAAAAGACAGACAAGCTTGTGCAATACCCCTCTTGCTATGCTCATTTAGGTAAGATCTGGTCCAGAGTGGATCTCACTGCAGTCTTCATAATGTGTATTGGTCTGAGAGATGAAAAATTAAATCTCTTGATGTGATCTTTAAGTGATAAAATACTTTTTAATTATTACGATGACCAAGCACCTCCGTAGTATCTTGATGATTGCATTGTGGTGTGAGGTTTTCTTGACCCTGTTGTTAAATCCGTTTTTACTATAATTTTATTTTTAAAAGTAAAATTTTTTTTTTTTTAATCTTTTTTTTTTTGTTTGACTTTGGGAGTCTTGTTTTTGTTAAGCGTGTTGAACAGATGCCTTTTTTTTTTGTTTTTTTTTTGCATACCTCTAAGATCTACAAATTGTCTTCTCATCAGCATGTGCTAATGTAAACCCCACTGTGTGGTAAGCATGCTGCTTGTGGTCAAAGTAATGTGGTGACTACATATCTGTGCAAGTATTTTTTGTTTTGTCTATTGTAGTACCCAATGGAGACACCAGCATCTTATTGTAAGTCTTAATTCTTAACATGAAGTAAGTTAGATTATCTCTTGAGATAGGAAACTGTTACAAGATCCTTGTTAAGTAAATGACATACCGTATATACGCGAGTATATACGGTATATGTGGTTGTGTACAGAAAAGGGCTGGCTAGATTGACCTGGGGGTTAGTTTCCTGTTGAATCCATTTCATTGTGTGGGTGTGTGGGCTTTAAACTGGACAATATAAATAATAACATAGTATATTAATGACCAACTATCTTTATTTTGTAAAACCTGTGTCCATAGCTTTTAAGGACCAATATTAATCAGTTCATCGCTAAATATCTAGAACATTCTATTTTGGTGTTAATGTTGGCTAATATTAATGTGAGAGCAGCAAGCCCCACCTGGTAGAATTGATATGTTGTACATATTTTAGTGCAGTTCTTAGTCTCAAATGAAATTCATACAGCCAAACACTTGGCATTCTGGGATTGTACAGAATGCATTGTGGGAATGAGTGCACATTTCATTGGAGTGGCGTTGCTGTAATTTTTGATATTTATGTGTAACTCCTCAATATTAAACGAAGCATTATAACCACTACATTAATCTGAAGTCTCCTGGACCTGTGTAACCTTTGAGTCAAACTATTAATTTACATTAATTTGGTACCATATGTGTGCGTATATGTGTGTGTGTGTGTGTATATATATATATATATTGTAATATGAACAGGTGTACAAATACCACTGACCTAATAGAACAGAGGTACCGGTAGGTTAAAGGATAATGTTTATTTAAGCTAACACCGCGCATGGCCTTAAAACAACAAAATTTGCCCTACGAACTTTCGTAGGCTTTAGAACCGTACAAACTTGTCTTTATATTTAGCAAGCCACTTTGAAGAGGACATTTTACTGGAACAAAAGATTGAAGATGTACAACTGTGTCACATTTATTGGCTTCTTCTAATTTCACACATTCTTCTTGGAGTCTCTGTAAACCCATCCTATTTCTAAACAAAGAATGTGACCATAAAGGGACCTTGGCAACTGGATTCATGTTAAGTTAAAGTGCCTCCATCACCAGAAGGATATTCCTTATCAAACACTGAAAATGCTGTTAGTTTTGTGTTTTTTTGTTTGTTTTGTTTTTTAATATTTTGTTGATTATATAGTTTTGGGATATTTTAAGTAAAACAGTTGCAACATTATGATTCTCTGAGTAACTGCTAATTTCATGTGTGTTTTGTTTATTTAATTTTTTTTTACATTGCTATTTTGTTAACTTGTGCACAGATTCTTGGTGCAGATGAATCAAATGCTTTTTTAAATCTACACTCGAACATATTAATCGGCCTCACTCTGCAGGCAAATCCTGGACGAATCTGTGAATTCAGGCACAGATTGAAAGGGCATTTTATTTGTTTGCACACCAGCTAAAAAGCATTTGTGCAAGTCTACAATTTTGTTTTATACTTAATGTACAAACCAGGAATGAAGAATTAGATCAAACTTATACATGTAATAATTGGACCATTTTGGACTTGACTGTAACAAAATTCAAAATATTGATATTTAAAATCAGGAAATATTTTTTCCTTATTTATTTTAACTGACGGAATTATTCAACGAGCCTTGAGTGACAAACTAAGGCCTATGCCACCTCATTTTCCCTCTGCTCCATCGTTTCTTGCATGCCCATTCCATTTGTGGATCAAATTCTGCCATAGTGGAGTACTTATAATGGCCAGTTATGCATTACAGAGTTTCAAATGAGCCTTCAATGAACTTTATTATATTGAATATAGTCTGAGCTATGACAAGGGGTGTAGTGTCTGCGTGTATGCAACTTAATGGCCTATGGCAAGCTATTTCATTTAGTACAGATAGAGTTTAAGGAATTTTATTTACAATTATTAATTTATTAACATGCATAGTGGCTTTTAAACATTCACACTGTGAGTTTTATTGTAAAGACCTCTGTGATGCACTCACACACAACACTTTCATATGAGTTTAATTGTTGGGGCGCTCGGTGATAAATACACGCTGAACTTCTTCAAAAACACACAAAGATATAAAAGTAGGGAGTGGGAGGTATTTGGCCATCAAAAAGGCTTCCCGTGCTAAGAGACACTTAAGATGAAAGCGTAAAGAGAGGCCAATATTTGTATTTAAGGTGGCTAAACAAGTCTTGGAGATACAGTCCTAGAAGTCACTTGAGTGTTTTTGTGTTTTTTATTTTAAAAGTTAATAAAGTGATCTGATGCATTGCTCATAGATCAATTCATTCCCCCCACCGCCTGTTAACTACTTATAAAATATTTTTCCCTCTTTGCATTTGTTGTCATTTTGAACCTTATTTGTCACTCAATCAAAAATGGATCATAAAGTTTTCAAAAAGGGACCGGGTTAGAATGTGTTGTAATTTTTGAGTTGCTTAGTTAGTGCTCTCATGTACACTTTTATCTGTGCACGCTTAATAAATCCTTAGCATCCTTGCAAAACAGCAGGATAATTTGGGATTAAATTTGCCCTGTGCTATGGGATAGTTGGCAGGCTCTGTGTAATCACCGAGAGGCCTGGCCTGTTCGATTCCAACCTCACAGGCAGCATGTGTTTTTTAGCTCATAGCGGAACATGCCAGCATTACATACTTTGTTAGGTTATTGCTGTATGGTAAGGTAAATTACCCCCGAGCTATGCAGAGAGTCTAATTTTCTTAAATCCCTATCCATCATTCTGTTTGAATGTGCCCAAACATACAAGTGTTATACTTTTTAAGCTCCTTAAAGCACTCTTACCTCTCTATTATTTTTGATTTACTCTAGGGGTGGCCAAAAGGTAGATCCATAAATGTACAACTCTCATGATGCTTTGCCAGGTTTTTGACTGAAGTCCGAGGAAACTAGTTGGGAGCAATTTACTTTTTTAAACTTTTTTTTTTTTTTTTCATAAAATATCCATATTCTTTGAAAACAGGGATGTTCAAACAATCACCAGGGGCAATCATTTGGACAGTTTTAGGATTGCTGTAATTAACTGTATGTAATTAACTTTGTGCATCACTAAGCCATGTGAAGTGCGTAAAATCCTTGTGTCTCCAGACTTTGAATTTGAACAGTATTGTTCTAAACTGGATTAGAATGCACTATGATAACTTTAAAATAAAATATTTTTAACTTATTTTCTTCTGCATTTCTCTGACTAGAGATTACCAACAACTTTAGTTTAGAATTAATGCAGCTTACATATTTTTGTTTCCTTTGCAACAATTCATGTGCAACTTTTGAACAAGAAAATATGACCTGATTCACTCATTTGGATATAAAAAAAATTAATAATTGAGTGGTTTTGTGCCTTTGCATTGTGATAGGATTAAATACCCCTATTTTTTACTTTATTGTTGCAAATTTACACCCACCAGGCAAGTTATTATTTTTTTTTTTTTTGCATAATTTAATTTATTCTATTGCAAAATGACTGTAATAATGATAAAAAAACAAAAAAATGTGATGCTGTTCTGTTTCCGTACTGACCGTTCATAGCCCTATTGTTAAATCCTCCCTGTTAATATGTGACTCTGAAGCTTTAGTTTACCACGCTATCGTAAAACCATGTTGAGGGTACACTTCACTTTTAAGTTTTAATGCGGGCTAAAGTTTTATAACCGTACTGTGTTTATCTCTATCCTCTAACACCCCTTCCCACCCGCTGACCAGGTGTTTTGTCGCATTCCTTGTAGGAAAAAAAAAAACCCCAACAAGGTAATAATCTCTAAACACAGCTGCTCCATCAACTAGCAAGACAAGGAGAAATCCTACTATAAAAACGTGGTTATAAAAACCTGGACGAGTATTTTAAATACTTTCCGCCAAATAACCCATCAGAATTCCAAGAAAGAATTTCAGCAGCTGAATATTTCAAGCTGACCTGTAAAAACCTTCTTACGCCCAGCGTAGATCAAAGCAGCTGTGTCCAAGCATTTTCATGTGCCCGGGAAGAGTAAAAAAATCTATTAACATACCTGCTATGCATTGTTGTAAAAAGAGGATTTAAAATGGCTTATGCGGAATGTACGACTCCCTTACTGTTAGTGCATTCAATTCCATTTTATAGGTTGGTGAGATTGCTACATGGAACAGAACGTAGATATTTTACATTCCAGTTGTTGTGGAAACGCTTTACTGTAATCCCAAGCCACGAGTTGCACAACTACTGGTGTGGTGAGGTTGATGAGGTTTAAGACCATGTTTTGGGGCCTTAGTAGCTTCGTAATGTTCATTGGTATGTAATGCAGAACAAAGGCACAGTGAACTCTCTGAATAAAACAGAAAAATCACTTCATGTGTCTTATGATAAAGATTCAGTCTATGACCTCCGAAGCTCACAGAATCCCATGCAGTCATGGTTGAAGCCACCATTTACACCGGTACCATCTGGTAGGCTTGTAATGACTTTCTACTGGTTTGTAGTGTTTACAACCACTTTCAGATGTCTTGTGGTTTCCACCTAGTCCGCTGCTTTGTCATATGGTTTTAAACCATTATTGTTATGGTTGTAAGCTCTAACAGAGTTTTGTGTCACGAGTTTGAATGGAAAAAAAATGGTCATTTACTGAATTCTGCCATTTCCCTTTATAATGTCCCTTATCTCTGCCTCTGAAATCTTGTAAATGCATAAACCCGAATCCTTTTATCCTCCAAACATATGGATACACAGTCAAAAATAAAATCTCAGAACATGGACATATGGAATGTTACAGAGCAGGTGGAAAGTTTGGGAGGGCATTTGTGTGGCCTTTGATCTGATATAGGAAAACGAGTAACCTATTGCATCGCTTTATATTTTTATCAACAGACATTGCGGGACTCTTTTTGTGTCCTTTGTGTGTCCCTCGATCACTGTGCAAATTGTACAGTATCCTTACAGAAGTCAAATGCACTTGCAGGACTTTTAAAATGAACATTACATCTGGGTATCAAATGTTTTACACTAGTTGTGTGTTTTTTGTTTTTTTTCCCCCCTCTACTGTGATGTAATTTACGAAATGCTGTATGTTTTGTATTTTGTGTGACTGACTTGGCTTTAATGAAATTTTATGTTTTTTTTTTTTTTCATTTCCTAGAACCCACAATTTTCAGCTTTAATTTTTGACAAGCTCCAAGTGCCTGATTATTTGCTGAAGAGCAGGAATGAAGGAGAAAGCCGATGTGATATCTGCGCCACTCACTTGAACCAGTTGAAGCAGGAAGCCGTCCAGATGATCCAAGCTTTCAATCAAACCGGCAACCCAGAAATTCTAGATTGTCCCCGTTCTGTGCCTGTGGCTAGTGTTCTCCCGGGCCTATCACCCCAGAAAATGGTCACCGTTTCATCTCAGAAGGAATTGTTGATGATTGCTGGGCAGGTGGGCAAGCAGCCTGGGAAACCAACACCTGTTTTCCCTGGGACAGAGAAGAAAAAAGGGCTTGGATGGACACAAGGGCCAGGGAGCTTTCCAAGCTCCAGTTTGCAAGTTACAGTGGCTCCGAACAGCCTTGGTGGAACTTTGAGCTCAGTGACCATCCAGGCCCAACAGTATCTAGAAGGCATGTGGAGTATATCCAGAGTCAACAACTTCCTTCCTTCATCTTGTCAGGTAAGCGAACGCAATTGGAGTGTGCTGGTAATTGTCATTCTGTATTAAGACGAGTTGTGTGATGGAACTTGTGTTTTAAATGGGAAAGTACCGTGGTCTATTTTCCATCTTCTCTTGATTTTGTTTTAGTTACAATGTCAAATATCTTTTTGCGAATAGAATACTCCCTTAAAAATTAAATAGAATAAAAATGAGTGAAGAATTTCGATCGTAACTTTGAGTTCTAGAACACTAGTTTTGCATAAGAAAAAAAATAAGAAAAAATCCAGTATGGTAACCGAACGGATAGGACTTTTATATCTTACAGTTTTGCACAGTGTCCTCAAAATATTAACCACCACAAACCGTTTACATTTAAAATTAAATAAAAATGAACTGATTTATATATAATTATTTAGGGCTTCTGAAAAATGTTTTAAACACAAGTGTTCCCATATGACAACATTGATCAGATTAAACATTTCCCAGTTTTCTGTGTGTATGGAGAATATTTTGCAATTCTCTTCCTGTGTCTATATCTGTTCTTAACATCTGCCAGTGATTGCAGATCCTTAATGAAGCTATTAATATTTTAGTGGCTCAGGAACAGAAGCTGAAAGGATGTCTTGGTATTAGTTATAGAAGATGTCAAAGGTTGCCAATCTTAATTGGATGAGCAGAAGGTGAATATGTTGCAAAAATTAGATTTATTAATTCATTTTATCAAAAAATAAATAATAGTTTTATTGAGGCGTTTCTACTAGAAACACACAGAATATTTCACTTTTTTTTTTAAAGGAACACTATAGGATTAAGAATACAAATGTGTATTTCTAACGTCACAGTTTAGGTGACCGGGCCCCAATTACCAGGGCTAAAAGGCGAGTTTTACTTAACCTTTTCTCCCTTGCAGTGACGATCTCTGATGTGCCAGTCCACCGCTTTAATAGAGATTATGGATAATCTAAGTCAAGTGAATGCTTTCCTATAGGAATGTATAAGGAGACAAGTGCGCATGTGCGGCAAAATGCCGTGCCGCACTAATCAGATGGTCTCAGAGAATGGAGTAATGGTGAAATAGAAATAAGAGTTGTAAAAGGCACATGTCTCTTTTATTAATGAGGAGCTACTGATTGGCTTAGACGTTAAGGTGACCGCTTTAGCCACTCAGCAGTGCCCTTATCTGGTGGCAGCCCGTGCTTCCTAAAACGCAATTGAATAAGCCGGATTCTGCTGGGGAAAGGAAGATCGTGCACTTGAAGCATCCTTTGGGGTTAAACCATTTGAGAACAGTTTAAACCCTACAGGTAAGAAAGCACCATGGATCTCCTGGCACCATAACTGCATTGGTACGCAATAGTGATTATGGTGTTTGAAGTATTCCTTTAAAATGTCTGAGGGTAGTGCAGTAGGAGCTATGACATTGTATGTAACTCTTGCAGCCATTAGACTGCTGTGTGTGCTTACAACAGATTCAGACTTTGCACAAAACCGATATTGTCAGCCTGGAAGAAAGAATTCCATCTGACTGACTGTCCTGGGAGGTGGCCCTACACAGAGGAAAAAAAAGAAGGTATTTTATCTCTTGAATTAAACCTTTTTAGAAAGAAAGGCTGTTGTGTCTTTGCGCAGTAACCACTTCAGTAAGCTGAAGTGATTATGGGACTTAGGATGGTGGACATTATTTATTGCTAAGAATTCTAAAGCATAATGCTATCGAATTGCGTTGATGTAAGGTCCCGTCTAACCAACCTAACTGTACCCCACATTAAAGAGCATATTGTAAGCCGACATTGAAGAGCCTGGAAAATGGATGCATACATAAACCTAAATGCTCAAGTTTAGAAAAAAGAAAAAACGATCCTAGAATGAAAAACAAAAAAGCATGCTTTTCCAGCTTGTGTGTGTCATATATTACTTAAAAAGAGCTTACGAAGACACTTGAGAAGATAAAACTGTCCTGGTAAAACGCTGTGCAATTTTGAGCATAGCTCTGGCTTTCGGTTGCAAATCGTAAGAGAAATAATATTCGTTTTAAATATGATTGCAAGAAAAATAGATAGTGCTGCCCGCAATCAGAAAATATCTAATACAGCGAAAGAGACACTTTGCTTTTAACAGGAATCTTTTTGCTCCCGTCAGTCTTGAATATATCTCCAAATCTAGAAAATGATGTTTTCACCGGAAGGTTTTTTTTTGCATTCTTTGTAGAATGTGGCAATTTTATGGAAAGTAAATCGTTGTTGCAGAGCAATTTAAAATGGGAAGCTTTATTTATTTCATTTTTTTTAGGAAAAAATTGTAATCTGCTATTTTATGTATAAACATCATTATGAATGTTACTGGTGTAAAAAAATAAAATAAAACAAATATATTTAAAAAATCTTTTTCTGGAATGAATCCAAACGAAGAGCTAATATTCTTTGCCATGGCTGTAGTGTCGGATTTCAATCTCTAGATTAGTTGATGGTCTAAATTAGAATTTCCATAATTTAAGGTTTTTCACGTTTAGTATAGTATGCTGGTATTCATAAGTGCTGAGTGTTTTTCATACCTACTTACAGATCTAATATGCAGAATTTGCTGTGTTCTTTTGGAGAGTTTTCAGCTTTTATAGACAATCGAAAACTAAATCCTCTAGAACTGTCATAGGTTCAAATTCAGAATTTACTACATAATATAGTAGGTAGTGTAGGTAAAATGTTAGCAGTTCAAGGGACACTTCAGTTGAGACACTGGCTTAACACGGCTCACATAGGTATCAAGAAGTGTCCTTGATTGGATCACGCGGATATCGGGAGCTGTTCTTGAGAGCATCACACGGGTATTAAGAATTGTCCTTGACTGGTTCACTTGGGTATCTAGGCTGGGACTAGTGATTGTGTGTGAAACCTATTCTCTGCCTCTGTGATCAGACCTCTCAGAACTACACAATAAAAATGATTCTTCCAAAAGAAAGTGACAGACTTTGGGGCGATCTCTAGTCAAAGTGTTCCAGGCTAATAAAATTCACATTAGATGTTGTTTAGGAGGTAAGAGGTATGTTATACTTCCCAAAACTACCCCTTTGTGCTCAGGTTAAAATCGTAAGTTTGTGTCAAGTACTGCTGATCATGCTTGCTGTCTCTTGAGGATTTAAACCCCGGAGTATTCAACATTTGTCCAACAAAAGACAGGCCAATATAGAACTCTAAGTTGTTGTTCGATAGCACCGTACAAGCAGAGGATCTCTGGTAAATTGGATCGAGGCCATGGTGATAAAGAAATGAGAATTGTTAACTTGTATTCTTGGCCTTATGGCCTTAGAGGTGAACTTGGAAAATAGTCACTCGAATTCACATGAAACTTGGCTTATTTCCAGATTTTCCTCAACTCATTGATTGTCTAGATGGAAATTAAAAATGTATATAAACAGAAGCTTGAGGGTAAAACTGTAAATTAATTTTTCTATTTCGACTAAAAGTTTGCAGAATGCTGCAGACTGTTGTAGCCTCTCAGAGGTATTGATTGATGGACAGGGCAGACCGAGCTTAAAGGGACTCTCCAGTGCCAGGAAAACACATTGTTTTCCTGGCACTGCAGGTCCCCTCTCCCTCTCACCCCCCATTCCATGTTGCTGAAGGGGTTAAAACCCCTTCAGTGACTTACCTGTATCCAGCACCGATGTCCCTCGGCGCTGGGTCAGGGTCCGCCCACGCTCCTCCCCCGCCGACGTCATCCAGCGGGGGAGACCTATTAAACATGCACGGCCAGCAGCGGGGGAGACCTAATGCGCATGCGCGGCAAAGCAAAGCATGTGCATTAGACCTCCCCATAGGAAAGCATTGAATAATGCTTTCCTATGGGGATTTCAGTGATGCTGGAGGTCCTCACATAGCATGAGGACTTCCAGCCTCATTATAGCACACTTTTCGTGTTCTATGAACACGGAAGTGTTCTCTAGTGGCTGTCTAGAAGACAGCCACTAGAGGAGGACTTAACACTTCAAGGTAAATATTGCAAGTATTATATATATTGAAAACTGCAATAATTACCCTTGCAGGCTTAAGGGTAGTGGGAGTTGGCACCAATACCACTCCAATGGGCAGAAGTGGTCTGGGTGCCTGGAGTATCCCTTTAAACAAGATATCTCGTGTGATAACCATCAGAACTGCATAAACTAACTTTTATTCCTTGTTCCGTTACCATAATATTGGTATCCAGGCCTTACAATATTCCTTGTACATTACTAAATATCATAGGGAACCTGTTGGAAGTGTGTCTGAGATTAGCATTCCAAGATAAACCTTCACAATGCTGGATTCTTCAATGCTCAATGTGACTTCAATGCTCTAATTCGGGATTGAAGATTTTGGATAAGACTAATTCAGTAGCTACTGATGTTTTCCTGTTTGCTTAGCTTTGAAAAACCAAAGCCCTAGGTTTTTTTTTATAATTTTTTTTTTTCGTTTTTAAATGGTACGTTTGGAATTGTTTGGTTAAAGTTATGGAAAGTCATATATATTTAAGAATTATTAGTAAAACACATTTTTATGTATTTATTGTCACATGTATCTCATGCTGAATAGAGTCTGGTTTCTAGAACTGACATTTTATTGACACACTTAAGAATAGAACCGTAATGGTGAGCCTTGGCACTCCAAATATTCCTGAACTTTATTTCCTATGATACTTGGCCTATTCCTTGAACCAAATCTACATTCTAATCTAACTTTCCAGAGCTTTGTAAATGCACAATACCTTAAAGGAACACTGCAATCCAAACACCATACACACTACAGCACCCTGCAGTAGTTATGGTGACTGGGGAGCCCAGTTACCCCCTTCCACTCCCCTTCAAAAGTGGTCAAATGTATTTAGAACGGTTTTGCAGGTTTCCAGGAGTCTACTGGGTGGACGTTCTACATCAATAACCAAGTCAAATCATTTGGCAACCCTGGTACCATAACCACTACAGCATGCTGCAATGGTTATGGTGCCTAAAGTGTTCCTTTTTATTCTTACCTTTTCTGTGTCCATCCCATGGATAACCAGATGCAATATTTAAAGAGGCTCAGAAAGTCTACTTTTGTTAAAAGTGGAATGCAGCAAATCTGAGATGTGGCAAATTGGAAAATGCAATTATCATGCAATTTCTTTTTTTGCTGCGGTATCATAAAACAGGTTTTCCAAGCGTCCTTTCCATTTATGTGGATTATTGATTTAATTTCCGTGTGGTTCCTTTTAATGGATTTATAATTAGAACATTGTCACAATAATCAATAGTGAGATTATTAACCATGTAAATAAAACCCACTGATTTAGGGTGAGGTAAGAACTGCGTTATCGGCAATCGATGGCTATGGTCAGACAGGATTATTTCCACCAGTGAAAGATATATTCTCGAAAGTAGACCATTAATATTTGTATTTTCTGCAGAGACACAAATGTTGTTTTTGTAAGGAAATATTGTTTTTTAACAGAATAAAGAAGTGGCGTGATGCATTACTACTGCAACGAGCGCATACACTACATTGTGGCTTCATTATATTACTAGAAGATAAAACATACTGCTGCGATATATATATATAGTGTCTTGTGGATTTAGTCTGGTGTAGATAAAAAAAAAAAAAAAACAAGGAGGTACAGTTCAGTTTTGCTTGAAGGTATTCATCTATCATCATGGTTGTTTTAATATTCCGCTCTATACTACGACCATTGCCAATGACAAGTCATATCCGTTTCGTCAGATGATGCACTGGACTCCTGTAAGGCAAGGGAGACCCTATACACATAATCCTCATCCCTCAATTACTGCATTCCAGCGTTTTCAAATTGATTGTTCATTACCCTGTACAATGTTTTTTATTATTATTTTTTTAATTGTATTTTAATTTTGAAAAAAAAATTTTTTTATACCTTTTTAATTTTTAAAATTTATTATCATCAGAATCCCCTTTTTGGTAATGTGAAGGCCACCGTATAGCTTGTACTTGATTGATGTTGAGAAACCATAAACTTTAGTTTAATCTTGGTCAAGCAAAATGTCTAATAGTTGACCAATAAAAATAATTATTTTATATTTTTTTGACATTTTATTTTCAGAGTGGTTAGAACGTCAAAGACATTGCCAAGAAGCCGAGCAGTAATGCGAGGTCATTAACTCCTATCCATTAGCTAAGATTAAAAGCAGCACTTTGTTGTTTTTTTTGTTTTTTTTTTCATCTTTTTTTTGAATCATTTTCCCTCTTCCTTGAGAGCAGAGCACAGTTGAACATAATAGTTACATAAATAATTTATGAGTAGACTTTTAAAATTTAAATCAGGATGGCAGAGTGGTAACTATGCAAACTGTTATTTTAAGCAATTCAGTCAGATAGCAGAAATCACTTTTATGGAGAAACGTAGCTAAAGAAGAAAAGATAAAAATCAATTATCCAAATTGCCTCTTCATTTTACATTCCCCTAGTTCACTCATCAGCATTAGCTCCCATTATGCAGCCAAATAGAATCTTTGGATGTTTTGACCTTGTGTTGGTCATAGTGCACTCACGGAATGGAGCTGTCTGGTAATAGTGGCCTATGGGTTCTGTGGTATGGAAGACTCTATTTTAAGGTCTGTTCCATTATGCAAACGAGCACATCTAGATCACTTTAAAGGCTCACTGCTCCAGCCTGGGTTATTTTCATTGTCTGCTTAATAAGCTGTCAAAAGCTTAGAAATACATCTGGGTTATCCTTCCCTTCAGTTACAAAAAATATATATTTAATTTCACAAATCACCTCTTGTGTGCTTGTAATCATATAAATCAAGGCTAAATTTAAATTTTTCTACATTTCGGTGTGTGTGTGTATATATATATATATATTTTAGTCTATAACACTTTAGTATTTGTAAAGCATCAAAATATTGAGGGGGGGGGGGAGGGAGGGGAGTACAGGTGAAGGAGTGGGGGGGGGAGAAAGAGAGGAACTGTAAGAATGAGTACCAGAACAAAAGGAACCTGGACCCGGCCTGTGGTCTTAAAATGCAGCATTTATAGAACTTTTATACAAAGTGCTTTATATGATGGCTTATGAGCTTACAATCTAAATTCCATTAGAGAAGTGTAGTGAGACAAGAAGTTGCAGTGTTGGCGTGTGGAAGAATATGTATTTATAAATGTTGTTGTTGTTCTGTATTCAATTCACTGTTTAGCGTACTAACTCTCTTTTAGATTGGGTGTCAACACTCAGAACATGGAAGTTCCCCTGTGTCACCGATGTGTTTGGGTATCTAAAGCGAAAATCATTAACCTCATTACTCTGTACGATGCCCAATCAGTTTTACACACCTTGAAGTGACACCTGGGTTTTAGCCAAAGGGTAAACTTGATGACTCTATAAACAAAAAGAGGTGCCATTACATATATCTTCCTCTCTACCCATGGATAATACCTAACTAATAGAGGGGTGTGCAGCAAACGTTTTCTACCCAGCACCCCCTTCTGACCTATCCCCTCAGCATCCTGGCAAAGCACTTTACTACTGATCTTTCTTTTAGAACAGTGTCTTATACTCTCCTGCCCCCTCCACCAAACGTAGTGTTCCGGAGCAAGAGAACCCCACTTCCAGGACCTCAGCCCCCAAAGCCACCCTACTAGTAGCGCCTATTAGGGATGCACTGAAATGCAAATTCTGGGCCGAAACCGAAAATTCAGGATGCCCTTGGCCGAAAACCGAAAATGACTTTTTCCTCCAAATGATTTTAAAAAAGTTTTTTTCCTATAATTTTATTAATATTAGACTGTTTAATGAATTTAATCGAATATGAAAAACTTCCCTTCTCTTTTAGTGGTCCCCACGCTTAATGTTCCTCTCTCCCCCCTCTAGTGTTCTTTCCTCTCTCCTCCCCTGTCCCATAGTGTTCTTTTCTCCCCTCCCCAGTCCCATAGTGTTCTTCCCTCCCCCTCCCCAGTCCCATAGTGTTCTTCCCTCCCCCTCCCCTGTCCCTTAGTGTCCCATAGTGTTCTTCCTCCCTCCTTGTCCTATATTGCTCCCTCCTCCCTCCCTTATCCCCATATTGTTCTCCCTCCCTTGTCTTTGTGTCCCATATTTGCCTCCCCTCCCCTGTCCCATAGTGTTCTTCCCCATCCCACAATGTCATTCCCCCGTCCCATAGTGTTCTCTACCCCCCATCTCATAGTGTTCTTTTCCCCCTCCCTGTCCCATAGTGTTCTTTTCCCCCCTCCCCTGCCCCATAGTGTTCCTTACCCCCTCCCCTGTCCCATAATGTTCCTCCTGTCCCATAGTGTTCTTCCCCCCCTCCCATAGTGTTCTTCCCCCACTCCCCTGTCCCATAGTGTGTCCCATAGTGTTCTCCCCTGTCCCATAGTGTTCTTCCCCCACTCCTCTGTCCCATAGTGTTCTTCCCCCACTCCCCTGTCCCACAGTGTTCTCCCCTCCCTCCTCTGTCCTATAGTCTTCTCCCCCCTCCCCTGTCCCATAGTGTTGTCCCTTCCCTCCCCTGTCCCATAGTGTTCTCCCTTCCCTCACTGTAGCATGTTGCACTAAACTTGCCATCCAAGGATGGACTTCTATAGTTAATGCAGAACTGGAACTTCAACATCATCACATCAGAGGCTGACGAAATGCAGCCAAACACCTTTTCAGTATAATCAGTATAATAACCTGCACATTTATAACATTTTGTCACCCATATTGGAAGGCACTTGTACACTATATGAATTAAAATATTTATAGGTCCTATATTAATGTGAATAAATGTATTCTACGATAAAATGTGTCTGAACAATCTGTGCATGTTCCTTGTATGTGAGCAACTTAGGAATTTTTCTACAAAGTTATTTTAGGGCAAATGGTGTTTTTGAGTGTAAATATGGTTTTATTAGGATGTAAGTGAGATAAATGTATACGATGTAGGAATTTATTTTGGAATTTTACCCACCTAGAATACACTTTTGTTTTGTTTTGTTCTAAACACTCTCTTTTGTTTTATGTTTGGGGTTTTTTTTGTGCTCCACCATGCGCAAAGGTTTTTAAAGATATTGTACTCTTAAATACACCCTCAAAACAAAAATGTGTTATTTCACAACCTATTTGAAAACAACCTATTTACGCAGATAATTTCACATCTTTATAGTTATTAGTAAAAAAAACTTTTTCCTCTTCTCTAGGTGAAATCTCTTTTCCACAAGTCCTAATGGGTGACTTCAATGTTAATGCAACACATATTTTCAAACTCTATTTGTTTTATTGTTACCTTTAATCTGGGGCTCATGGTGCTCTGATTTCAGACACAGCCTACAATCTAAGTTACATAAGCCTCGATGAGTTAAACAGGATGCACCATGTGCCGTTATGGCATGGGATTGCAGTGTCATTATAAAACGATGCTTTAAGTCATTTACATGCAGTGACATTACAGTATCATCAGTAAAATGTGCCGTGTTGGATACGTTTTATGCTATATTAATTGGCTATGTGCAAGCAAGATGCCAACAGAGGGCAGTGCAGCTACAGATATTAGCAGCTGCCTCCATTACCCTTCTGTCTGTGACTTTTCAGTATGCCCTCTACATATTTCTGAATTATTTCTTGTGCAGATAACATCAGTGCTAAATTAAGGGCTTTATGGGTCTGGTGCTTTAGATTATGATGGGCCTAATTACGGAATTTAGTTCAAAGAACTGAGGGAGTTTGAGAGGCGAAGAAAAGTCAGGATAGGAGGGGAAGCAAGCTATCAATCCCTCTATGTTAATCTGACCATGAGTATTAGAACGCTTGGCCAATTTTGGCTACCCTGTTATCTCCTGCTTCACATCACATTTTGTTTTTAAGATGCTGCTGGTTAAAACATTATATGGGGGTTGGGTGGTTATTAGAAATAGTTTATTAAACATTTGGACATTTACAATATAAGTATGTGTCTTTGTACTTGGATTGGGTAACAATAAATACTCACACAGCAGTGACTGTGAACTAGAATCCTCATCAGATCTACTCAGGGCACAGCTCGGGGTGACAGGAGTTTTGTTCTACCACTATTATAGATTCAGCAAAAACTAGAGATTTGAAAGATAATCCACTGGAACTAAAAACAGGTGTGGGTGTGTGGCTTGCTACAAGAGAGAGCAGACATGATGCATAGAAGGTCTGGCCAGATAGAGTCGAATCTGAATGGCAACTTTTCCCCCTGACATTAGATTCCTTTTACAGGCCGCCTCTTATGAAACCATTGGCTCTCATGAGTTTCTGTTGGAGGAAAATGGGAACGAGCCCATAGGGATAGTTAAAGTGTCAAGGGTTTCCCTGGACTGGCTAAGGAAGGGAAAGACATGACTGCTGCCCAGGAATGGGGGATGGATTAAATGGGATACATATGTAGCAAAAGGGGACCGGTATATAGGTGAAGCTGGGGGTGGGCCCTTGACACTCAGCAGGAAGGGAGATATCTGACAGGAGCTTTCCCACCCTCCCTCCCTGTGTTGGTCAATGTTAGTAGTAGGTGGTGGTGGTGGTGGTGGTGGTGTTTTCTCGGTGTCTGGTTGTCTCTGTTTTTGTTTTGTCACAGCGGAATACCTGGCCAGCGCATGGGAAGGCAAGTGCCAAGTCGGATTGGGAAGTCGCAGTCTGCTTGGGCTGAAGGCGGAAGGCAGGCTGCTTTGGACTCTGGTAAAAGGATGTGAGATCTGTCTGATGGATGACTCACCTCATCAGCTGACAGTTGGTATTAATGCTGGCAAAATTGTTAAATAAAGCTGTGGCCGTTGCCCTTATTCATTATACAGGTGTCGTGTGTTTATTGGGCAACGGATGTGTTAGTGGGTCTGCAGTAATGATAATTACCTGTTCGACACAGTCGAACCAATCCCCTCCTTAGGTCAGCGGGCTGAACGCACCACTCAGCAGCATCTTAAAACTTTCCACATAACTTTGGACGGTACCCGCTTCAATATAGTTTGAATTTGCAAAACCTCACATCCACTCTAAACGTGGCCACGTCATCTAGGTGACCCCATTGTCGTACTTTTTGGGAGTCACAGAGATGACGTATATGAATCAAAAGCCATGTTGTCAGGCTACATTAATATACCCAGCACTCAGAACTTAAGTCAAAATAATAAAGAAAACCCTAAGGCATAATACTGGGCCTAAAAAACGGCCGGATTTAATGTTTAAAAAAAAAAAAGTGCAAAACAGGCTGAGGTCAGGAATACAGAGTATATGTAAACAGTATGTAAGCCAAAGGTCAAGGAATACAGAAGTCAGAATAGTCAGGAAACCGGCCAAAGTTCAAGGGATACATAATGGAGAACAGTCAATAAATGAGTTAAATTCAAATTACACAAGAATCAATACCAGAAACGCGCTCTCTGATAACCATAGTGGAAACCATGACAGGGCACTGAGAAATGGACAAGAAAGGTTTAACCCCTTAAAGGGAAACTCCAGTCACTGCAGGTCCCCTCTCTCTCCCACCTCCCAATCCCCGGTTGCTGAAGGGGTGAAAACCCCTTCAGTCATTTACCAGAGGTAGTGACATGTCCCACGTCACTGCATCTTCCTCCATTACGTCAGCCGGTGGGCGAGACTGATCCCGCCCACCGGCCGGGGAGACCTAATGCGCATGCGCGGCGCAATAGAGCTCCTAATAGGAAAGCATTGCAAATGCTTTTCAATGCTTTCCTATGGGGAGACGCTGGAGGTCCTCACATAGCATGAGGACGTCCAGCGACACTCTAGCACAGATTTACTGTGCTATAATTCAGGAAGTGCCCTCTAGTGGCTGTCTAGTAGACTAGAGGTGAAGTTAACCCTGCAAGGTGATTATTGCAGTTTATAAAAAACTGCAATAATTGACTTGCAGGGTCAAGAGTAGTGGGAGTTGGCACCCAGACCACTCCAATGGGCAGAAGTGGTCTGGGTGCCTGGAGTGTCCCTTTAAGGACTAAACTTCTGGAAAAAAGGGAATCATGACATGTCACACATGTCGTGTGTCCTTAAGGGCTTAAATAGCCTAAGGTGCTCCTTGATTGGCTACAGAGGAGCATGTGACAGTGGAACGTGTAAAGTCACAGAATTTATTGGGCAGACTAGATGGGCCGAATGGTTCTTATCTGCCGTCACATTCTATGTTTCTATGACACGTTCCCAGTGGTTAGGCACTATAAGGGTTATTTATGAACCTTAAAAGGTTCTTACTTGCAGCGTCCAGCGTCTCTAATGTTTTCAGACCCAGCTGCTGTGTGTCCAAACCACCAGGGCCCCGAGGCCCCAGTCACTGCTCTTGAGAATAACCCTACAGATAAGAATCCACTATACAGCTGCATAAAAATG